ACAAAGACCACCCCACCCCCCTCTTGTGGCATTTTTAATGGGCAGACTGTGTAACTATCCTTATTCGAACTAGAGTGGGATAGAAATTACTTGGCGACTCCCCAAGTCTCCCTATTTTAAAGATGTTTGGGTAATATTTGGGTATTTATTGGAAGCTTTTTTATTAGCTTTGGCAAAGCTGTTTCAACATAAGACAAATTTATAGGTCACCCGAGTGAAATGTTTATTAGTTCTCCATGGTGTTTAACAAGGCATTAAGATTTAATTTTTTTCTCCCTAGCCTTTCCAAGCATTAGCAAACATGATTCTTATGAAATGTAGTGTCTACATTGGAGATGAAACTGCTCCGGGTGGGCAGAGTAAATGTACTGAAGTATTAAAATATGAATACTAGTGTTCACATTAGTCAGATATACTGGGCACCCATACTTTATTTTATTGATTCTTATTAGAGAACTGGAGGCATCTGAAGCTCAACTTCTTTGGTAGCAGATGTCCCCTAAAAGATATTTTGTGTAGAGCAGCAGAGCCTTGTTATTAATGGAGGAGTCTAGTAACAAGTAATAACCCAACCCGCGTGGCGCAGTCGTTGAGCGTCAACCTATGAACTAGGAGGTCCAGGTTGGATTCCAGGTCAGGGCACATGCCTGTGTTGTGGTCTTGATCCCCAGCGTGGGGGTGCAGGAGACAGCCTATCAGTGATTCTCATCATTGTTGTTTCTCCCTCTCCCTTCCTCTCTGAAATAAAAAAATATATATATATATGTATAAAATAAATTCAAAAACAAGTAATAGATACCTGAAAATAATTCATCTACTGTGATTATCAGCCTCTCCTTTAACTGTTCACTTAGAATATTTTCTGCTTTTTGATTTTTAGAAGACGGAGACCTGAAGCAAAGAAATCTGTATCACAAAAAAGTATTCAAGGGTCATGCAAGCCAACTGTAGCCAATTGCAAAGAGCTGCAGGCAGTGAGGCTGCCTCAGCCTCCCAAAGTGTCCACACAAGATTGACAGAAGGTTCTGGTCTTCATTCTGGAGATGTGCATATCCAGATTAACTCCACACCTAAAGAATGTGCTGAAAATCTAAGCTCCAGAAATATAAGGTCAGGTGTCCATAGCTGTACCCATGGATGTGTACAGAGTCACTCACGGAATCAGTCCCGTAACCAAGCAAGGCAGCCTGGTGATACTTCCATGGAGTCTGGAGATCATGGTAGTAGCTCCTACTCAGAATTCCGATATCTCTTCAAGTGGCTGCAAAAGAGTCTTCCATATATTTTGATTCTGGGTGTCAAACTTGTTATGCAGCATATAACAGGTAGGGTATAATAAAATATTGAGTTGTTTCATTGCTAAATTCAGTAAATTTGTTTCTTTATCGGTAATCTACTTTAACCTATGTATTTTTGTTACTGATTTTCTGCTAGCTTTTAAAATTGTAAATATTCCCTTTAAATTCATGTCATTGTGTTAGCTTTTTGATTTTTTTCCTTGCAATTAACTGGAACTTATTATCTAACAGGAATTTCTCTTGGAATTGGACTGCTTACAACTTTTATGTATGCAGACAAAAGCATTGTAAATCAAGTTTTTCTAAGAGTAAGTATAACACAAAACTAAAAAAAAAATTACTAAATGTTTCTCTCTTTAGACCATATACTCATTTTTGAGAGAAATAGGAATTAAGATAGTTTTTTGACAAATTTAAATAGATACATTATAACATCTATAATATATTAAGTTTTATTATCTAAACTAGAGGCTTGGTGCACAAATTTATGCACAGGTGGGGGGTGGGGGGGTCCCTCGGCCTGGCTGGCGATCGGGGCCAATTGGGGCCATCTCACCCAGTCCAGGGGGGAGGGGCCACTGGAGGTTGGTCGGCCACAGGAGGTTGGCTGTGGGAGCGCACTGATCACCAGGGGGCAGCTCCTGAGTTGAGCGTCTGCCCCCTGGTGGTCAGTGCACATCATAGCTACTGGTCTTAACGGTTGCTTAGGCTTTTATATACATAGATGATCTGGCATAAATGATCTGTCCTGCAGCTGAACTGTTTCACCTTATTTCCTTTGTAAGTTGGGTTCCTGATAGAGAAAGAAAAACTAGATAGAACGGTTAAAAAGTTTAGAATGCACTATTTGATCTGATTTGTCAAGTGCCTTCATGTTTTATGAGTTAGTTTAACCACAGTACATAATATAATCATCATTAGAAACTTTAGCTGTCGCACTATCAGATTTAAAGTAAAGAAAATGTACATTGAATAAATGGGAATCGAACTATTTAGGTCTCTCTTATTTAAAGAAAATTAAACCCAAGTGGTTTTTCCATAACATCCTATATAATAAAAGCCTCTAATATGCTAAATGTCCCACCGTTCATTGGACTGTTCAACCAGTCACTGATGTGCACTGACCACCAGGGGGCAGACACTCTGGTAGGCTAGCTTGCTGCTGGGGTCCAGCGGATCGGGACTGGGCAAGAGGGGCCAGACACCCTGGAGCCCTCCCGTGGTCCCTCCCCAGCCCCGATTGTGCACTGGTGAGGTCCCAGATTACAAGAGGGCGCAGGCCAGGCTGAGGGATCCCACCAGTGCATGTATCTGTGCACTGCGTCGGTTTCAGCCCCATCCCCACAGGCCAGGCCAAGGGACCCCATTGGTGCACGAATCCGTGCACTGGGCCTCTAGTAAATTATAAAAGAGTTCTATTCATATAAACTATTGGGAAAACTAGGATCAGTTTATAAAACCTCACCTTTAAGCAATTTTAAAGGGCAGTATCTTTGTAAGGATCATGCATTCTGACCTGGAAATTTGTAGTTAGAACCTATCAAACCATGAAAATTTAATTCAGGATTTAAAACTACTAAAACTTTTAATTAAATCAATAATTGATACTTAATTTTAAAAAATAAATTGCCTTATTAAATTCTTATTGAATGTCTGAGAATTTAAAAATTATACTTATAAACCCTGGTAACTTAAATACACTTGTTAACATTTTGTTTTGTCTGGGAGGCAAAAGTAGGGAGCTGCAGAGGTAAAGTTTACATTTTGCTGGGTCCTTTCTGTCGCTTGTAGAAGATTTGGCTTCTTTCAAACATAGGTAATGTTTTTATACAGTGAAGAAACTTATTTTAAAAAGGTGTTTAAATGTGAGTTCTGTTTTGTTCACTAAAGATATATAGAGTGTGATGATGTACAATTTAACAGATGTTCTATATTTTTAATAAGTTTAATCTGTTTAAACATTCTAAGTTAATAAATTAGTCATTAAAATAAAAGTTTAATGATATTTAAATCTCTGGCATAATCCAAAGTAATAAATTCTAAAATTGTTTATTTTTCAGGAAAGGTGCTCAAAGATTCAGTGTGCTTGGTTACTGGTATTCTTAGCAGGATCTTCTGTTCTTTTATATTACACCTTTCATTCTCAGTCACTTTATCTCAGGTAATTAGAGATCCAAGTACACAATCATATTTTTATGTAACATATTCCTTAGCACTCTGCATGTATTTTACTTGCATATACTTATTGTTAGAGTTCAATTTTTACCCTTCTTCCAAGATTGAAAGCTTCAAGTGACTTTTTCAGATTTGTGTACCCAGTGTCTTGACTCCTAGCAGGCACTTGATAAATATTTAATTTTTGATACTTAAATTTTTACTTATATCGTCAATAGTTATTAGTTCCATTTAGTCAATATTGGTGGTGGTCTATTTTTGTTTTTTTATATATTTCTTGCAAATAAAAATGTATACATTTAAGTTTTACATGATGTTTTGATTTATGTGTACATTGTGTAATAAGAACATGATCTTTGCTTGTAGAAATAAAGACTTGCTAAAGGACAGTAGTTGTTAAGTTTCCATGTTAGATGGAAGTGTTCTGAATTTTTGACTCTAATCAGATAATTAGAAGTCCTGGTTTTCAGTTGAGTTAGAGAGGTGTGGGCAATTTCAGATATAGTTTGTCAGTGGATCCAATATCACTGATTGGATTGGGTGGGTAGGTAGAGTGGGAAAATCAAGGATGACACCTAGGATTTTCATCTAAGCAACTGGCTGGATGATGGTACCATTTACTGGGCTTGGAAAGACTGGGAAAGTAACTGGTTTTGAAGGGAAAAATCATCATTTGTTTTGAACATATTGATACGTCACATAGAATTGTTAAGTGATTTCAAATATATATGTCAGGAGCTCAGAGTAGAGGTTAGGACTATATATTTTGGTGTTATCAGCATATGAGTGATACTTTAAAAACCAAAACTAACCAGGCAAAGTATAGTCAGAGAAGAGGACCCAGGATTGGACATGCCCACAATTAGAGGAGCAGCAGCAAAAGAAACCAGGAAGGAACCATCAGTCACAAATGAGATCTAGGGAGTGTAGTGTTAGAAGTCTAGGAATAATAATTCAGGGAGGTAAAGGGAAAAAGGGACATGACCTTTGAATTTAGCAAGGTGGAGGTAGTTGGTGATCTGTACAAAAGCAGTTCAGTGGAAAGGAGGGAATGGAATCCAGATTGGAGTTGGTTGAGAAAATGACAGATATTTAATATTAGTGAATTTTTTTTAGATTACAGGCTAGAAAAGTATCAACCATGACAAGTTAGGAAGACTGTTCTTTTATACTATAGAGCAGGGGTCCTCAAACTACGGCCCGTGGGCCACATGCAAATACAAATATTGTATTTGTTCCCATTTTGTTTTTTTACTTCAAAATAAGATATGTGCAGTGTTCATAGGAATTTGTTCATAGTTTTTTTTTAAACTATAGTCCGGCCCTCCAACGGTCTGAGGGACAGTGAACTGGCCCTGTTTAAAAAGTTTGAGGACCCCTGCTATAGAGCAATGGTTCTCAACCTTCCTAATTCCGCAACCCTTTAATACAGTTCCTCATGTTGTGGTGACCCCCAATTTCATTGTTACAAATTGAACATAATTAAAGCATAGTGATTAGTCACAAAAACAATATGTAATTATATATGTGTTTTCCGATGGTCTTAGGTGACCCCTGTGAAAGGGTCATTCGACCCCAAAAGGGTCGCGACCCACAGGTTGAGAACCACTGCTATAGAGGAAAGATGCAAAATTAATACATTTTAAAAGTCTCTTTAAAATAAGCAAAATGTTCTTCTGTTTATGTGAACTCTAACACTTGCCAATTTTATATTTTTTACACATCAAAATAAATAAAAACCCCCATGAATACTTTACCTTTGTATGTTGCTCTGGTAAATTTTGATGTTTTTCTCTTGGTAGCTTAATTTTTTTAAATCCTACTTTGGACTATTCGAGCTTCTGGGAAGTACTTTGGGTTGTTGGAATTACAGATTTCATCCTGAAATTCCTCTGCATGGGCTTAAAATGCCTTATTTTATTGGTGCCTTCTTTCATCATACCTTTTAAATCCAAGGTAAGCAACTAAAATGTTTTGTTGGTACAATGTTAACAAACCACACTAATGCTATTTAGTCTCAACCTAATTTTAATTATATTATCTCAGACTGGCCACCATTTGCTCAAAGACTTAAGCCAAAATATTGATCTAGAAAAAAAATCAGAATTATATTTGCTTCAGCATCATCTAAAAATTAATTCCCATATCATATAGGGGAAAATATTAGATTTGTACTTTAGTTCTCCTCCAGGGCATTATCAATTGGTAATTGATAACTAACTATATGCTATTATTCAGTTTTTCCCATATTCAATAAAAACTTTAATAAAGTATTTGTGCAATGTATATAAGGAGCAAAGGTAACTATTTGTTCTTCCTTTTTAGGGTTACTGGTACATGCTTTTAGAAGAATTATGTCAGTATTACCGAACTTTTGTTCCCGTACCAGTTTGGTTTCGTTACCTTATAAGCTATGGGGAGTTTGGTAATATAACAAGGAGGAGTCTTGGAATATTGCTGGCTTTACTCTACCTCATACTAAAAGTAGGTAACATTCTTAATCTTGTCTTATGATTCATATAATGATTACTGATTTACTTAACATTGCTTTTCTTATTAACTATTTTACAGTTTATCTTTATTTAGATTGACATAATAGATTCTGTATCTAGTTAGAAATGGAGTAATGGAAATATAGTCTTTATCTTAATCCAGTGGTTCAGATTTTATTGGGGGAATGGACTTCCACATAGCATGGATTATAGACGGGGAAGAAGAGAGAGTAAATAGAATAGAACATACCCATTTCCAACAGCAGCATCTGTCCTACACATAATTCTGAAACTAGAGAATCTTATCCTGTTTCTTCTATGTCTTTTCTCCTCAGCTTAAATCACTTTATGAAACTTTAAAATCTAAATATGTTAAAAACATGTGAACCATGTAAAATTGCCTTGTCTTTGACATAGTTAACTTTATCTATATATAAAAGCCTAAGCGACCTTTATGACTGAATGACCAGAACGACCGGTCGACCAGTCACTATGACGCACACTGACCACCAGAGGCAGATGCTTAACGCAGGAGCTGCCCCCTGGTGGTCAGTGTGCTCCCATAGTGGGAGCGCCGCTCAGCCAGAAGCTGGACTCACGGAGCCTCTCCTGCCTGCACAGCAGTGCTACCAAGTGGCTGCGGCAGCAGCAGCAGGCACAGCGGGGCTGGGGGGAGTGGGAGCTGCATGGCACCAGCTCAGGCTCCTACCTGGCTGCCTGCCACTTAGCGCACTGCTACATCCCTGGTACACCATAGCCTGCAGTTACAATCTCGGGAGAACAGTTGAAGCATTGAAGTATGGACACTCAGAGTAACCAGGAGGAGCCTGATATGGCCACCGGGCTCCTGGAACTCTGCCTCAGGCATTGAGATCAAATCTCATCCCTTACCAATTGCCCTGGAGCTACAGAGGAAGGCAGCAATATAACAGTGGCCACAAGCGGCAACGGACAATCGGGGTAAACTCAAAGAGAGATGGATCTGAAGGGTGGGGGCATGGACAACAGAGCACCCCCATCCTACAAGACCCCCAACTTTGTGTTGTTCACCTTAGAGTGTCTCTTATCTTGCTCTGAGCAATGGAAAGCATCCAGCATGGCCCAAGGTGTCTACCGGGGACTTCCAGGCAGGCAAGGCGCAACCCTGGCTGCAGAAGGGTCAGGGTTGCGCAAATATTTTTTCAGGAAACGGGGGAAAGGAGAACAGACTTCTCGGCGGCTCAAGGGGACGTGGAAACTCCCCGGGCACTTGGGTGTGGGCTCCAGATTGCCTCTCAATGTGCATGAATCCGTGCACTGGGCCACTGGTATATATATATATATAGATATATATATATTTATGTTTTTAAAATATATTTTTTTATTGATTTTAGAGAGGAAGAGAGAGAAACATCAATGATGAGAGAGAATCATTGATTGACTGCCTCCTGCAAGCACCCAACTGGGGATCGAGCCCACTACCTGGGCATGTGCCCTTGACCCAAATCAAACCTGGGACCCTTTAGTCCACAGGCCGACAATCTATCCACTGAGTAAAACCAGCTAGGGCTAACTTTATATTTGTCTTGACCAAATTGTACCTCTAGGTATTCAGATTTTTTTTTTTTTTGGTTAAGAGTTGATTGAAATCTATAAATTGAGTAAAATATTTTATAAGTGGACTTTAAATATATTTAGATTGAAATGATTACTCATGATATTCAATGAACATTATGCTATTATCAGTATTTGATATTGTGGCATTTTAGCTTTGTTCCCTGGGTTTAGCAGATAGGGCTCTTGGAATTAATGAATAATCTCTTATTTCCTTTTTCAGCTTTTGGACTTTTATGAACATCTAAGAAATTTCAGACAAGTTTTGAGAAAATGTTTTACACGACCAGTAAGTACATTTTAATTGTTTAAGAAAAAACACTTTTAACCTTTTTTTCATTACAAAAAAAAAAAAAAGTTAATTCAGCTATTTTAAAAATATGGATTTCATTACAGTTTTAAAACTTTTTTAGTACTTTGGCACTTGGGGTTATGAGAATGATTTAGGAGTTTTATCTATGATCAATTTCTTAACTTGCATATTAACTTTACCAAGTGCTTATATATTTGAATGTCCTTGCCCCTTCTAATCATTTGACATTCTTAAGGGTTTATAAACATTCCTTTAAAAATCTTGTCATGAACTTTTGTTCCTTTTCCTTTTTTAATCTACAAATGGTGGCTTTGTGTATTTCCATTAACTCCTTATTCAATTTCTGTGAAAGCACTGTAATTTATTGTGTATATGAAAAAAGCTCAGTACCAAAAATCAAGTCCCTTGAAATTTTCTTACTGGAAAAATTTCCCCATCAATACTCAACTCTATATGCACAAACTAGAGGCCCAGTGCACAACATTTGTGCACTTGGGGGGGGAGGGTGGATCCCTCAGCCTGGCCTGCACCCTCTCCCAGTCCAGGAGCCCTTGAGGGATGTCCACATCCCTCTCGTAGTTCAGGACCCCTTGCTCCTTACCGCCCGCCTGCTGGCTGCTCCTTACCGCTCGGTTCGCTGCTCCTTAGCGCTGCCGGGGAAGCAGGAGAGGCTCCTGCCGCCACCACTGCACTCATCAGCCGTGAGCCTGGCTTCTAGAGGAGCAGCGCTTCCCCTGTGAGAGAGGACTGACCACCAGGGGCAGCTCCTGCATTGAGCGTCTGCCCCCTGGTGGTCAGCGCACATCATAGCAACCAGTCATCCCGCTGTTCAGTCGATTTGCATATTAGGCTTTTATTATATAGGATACGTTCAAGGCATGGAATTTAACAAAGCTGACACTCCAGCCTGACCAGTGAGGCTGAGTGGTTGAGCATCGACATATGAACCAGGAGGTCACGGTTCCATTCCCAGCAGTGCACATACCTGGGTTGCAGGGGTGTGCAGGAGGCAGCCAGTCAGTGATTTTTCTCTCACTGATGCCTCTCTCTCTCTTTCCCCCTTCCTCTATGAAATCAATAAAAAAATTTAAAAAGTGACACTCCAGTGTCAATTATAAACTTGATTTATTATGTGATTCTACTGAGATTACAAATTTCAGACAAAGGTTGTCATGGGCTCATTTGCTACTTAGTAGCCTTTGTGGTCAACAGGCTTCAGAGTTTGATCCTCAGTTTTGCAGTGCATTAAGTACTTACTTTGTCAGGACTCGGGGGACCTTACTAAAAGAATGCCAACATAATGATGAATGCTGAAAAACAAAAAAGAGGACTGTATCTCCAAAGTGGGCCATACTAACTGGTCCACTAAGATATATTCTTTCTCTAATATATAGTAAATGTAATAAGTTTTGCTGCATACTATTCAAACTTCATTCTTTAGACAAGATATAATATAATGGAGAGTTCAGCTTTGGTCAGATTTATTTAATTCATTATGTGAGTATCAGCTATTTTACTCTAATCTAGTAAGGCTTATACTGAAATAGTTTGATATTCTCTGTGAAGCAGAAAGAATATCACAGTCATCCATATTCTTTGATTTATTCTTGAGATTCTTAGGGGTTCCTTAACCTTGCCATCACCATCAAGATAAACCTTCACTTAAAAGGAGTCCACAGTATGCCAGACAAAAATGCTAATTTAAAAGCTTGTCAGCCTGTTATCTGTAGTGTACTCTGCTAAATGTCACTGAAAGGATTGGCACCAAGGTTATCTATCAGTAACCTGAAAAATCGTAATTTTTAATATTTTATTTTTTGTCTTAAATTGACTTTAACCCTCAATGTTCAGTACAAGTTTAGATCGTAACTTCAGACCATGCTTTGCTCTCATTACCATGATTGACTGAACTTGGGTGTTCTTACTTCCCGTTAGCCACCTTTTTCCCATCATTTCTACAGAAAGCTGATCTTATTTGTAACATTTTGTCACATCTAGTTAATAACTAAATTCTCCTGAATTTGGTGAGGAGTTATTAAGAACTTAGATCAGAAACTTTTTTAGTACATCAGAAGAAAAGGAAATTCAAAGAATTGCATTTTTATGCTGGCAGTTAATTTTGAACATACAACTCTATCCAAGTGATATTTTGCAATTACAGTTCTTTTATAAAATGTTAATCATTTTTTTCCCTAGTACTAAATGCTCTGACTTATGTGATAATTAAGGATAATAATTAAAATTATTTTTAGATTTAGTGGCAAGACACTGTTCAGTCGTCCCCAAACCTTCTTCAGATTGAACTCACCTGGAGAACTTACAAAAACTTCAGAGTCCTGTTGTCACATCCCAGTATGTCTGGACCTGAGTCAGTCTCCAGTATGGAGCACAGAAATCGGTTTTTTAAAGCAGTCTTTCCACATGAGTTGCATTCAGTCAGCCACACTCTGGACTGACTTTTTAGAACCACTGCCAGAGATAATAAATGGGCCCAATTTGGCAATATGAGGTCACCTAATACATTAATATATAGGTTTTATAATAGCTCTATTTCAGATTGTTTAGTTTCTTATGCCAGTTGAATTGTGTTGAATTTGAAGCCTGTATTTTAAAATCCAGTTATTCTAAAAATCTTTCAAGATCCTATTATGGCCCTAACCGGTTTGGCTCAGTGGATAGAGCATCAGCCTGCAGACTGAAGGGTCCCAGGTTTGATTCCGGTCAAGGGCATGTACCTTGGTTGCGGGCACATCCCCAGTAGGGGGTGTGCAGGAGGCAGCTGATCGATGTTTCTAACTCTATCCCTCTCCCTTCCTCTCTGTAAAAAAAATCAATAAAATATATATATTTTTAAAAAGATCCTATTATGTATTTAATGAGTTCACCTTGATGCAGTTCATCAAGATGTGGTTCTGCATATGTAGTTCAGCTTTGAAAGTTTGTATCCTGTGGGAGAGTTTTCAAGTGCCTAGATCCAGGAATATTTGAAAAATATAGCACCACCTGCATATTGGAAGTGCAGGAAAGAAACTGGTAAATGAAAATAACTTCTTATCTTTATAGAGTTATGGAGTGGCTGCCAGCAAGAGACAGTGTTCAGATGTGGATGATATTTGTTCAATATGTCAAGCTGAATTTCAAAAGCCAATTCTTCTCATCTGTCAGGTAATCATATTTTTAAGCAAACTAAATACAACACTTCACTGTGACTTGCAAGGCACATTTATGTTAGTTATAAGGAAAAAGACAAACTACATGTTTAGCAGAAAGTAGCATTCAGGGCACATATTGGTAATTTCTTATTTGTGATTACAGATTTGGTAGGTTAGCTAAACCTTGTCTCTATATGTTCTAATGATTTTTATGCAGAGGAGTGTATGAAGGGGAAAAATAATTCAAATGGCAGATTGTCTTACCAATGTGATTTAAAAAACAGGCTATTTGTAATAATGGATATTAGTCTTTTAGAATAATACCAGCATTTGTTATTGGATTGTGGAATGCCCTTTCCTATACTTTATGGCAGTTACTCTCAAAGACTTACTAAGCCATTAAGTCATTATACTTGATCTTAAAGTTATCACCTAGAGATAGCTTGTATTTGATTTAAAATGATTAAAGGATAGTATAGTCAAAAAAAAGGAACACTAGTAGCTCTTACCAGTAACACCATTCTTTTATTCTGGAATGTCATACTTTGTTTTCTCATTTGCAAAATGAAGGGATTAGTGCTCTCCAAAATCCCTTTCAGCTCTAAAGAGTATCATTGTCTATAATGAGATGAATTTAAAATAAAAATGTTATCAAGTTTATAATGTAGTTCTTAATTTCCTTACAGCATATATTTTGTGAAGAGTGCATTACCTTATGGTTTGACAGAGAGAAAACATGTCCGCTGTGCAGAACTGTGATTTTAGACCATATAAACAGATGGAAAGATGGAGCTACTTCATCAGACTTCCAGATATATTAAGTTGTATAAACTGTTAAAGCCACAAAACACGTGTTGTAGTCCAGTTTATCACGATTGTTCAACCTAATGCATATGCGACATTTATTCTATCCTAATCATTTGACAGATGATTGCAGTGTTAAATTATGTTTTCTTGTTAATTTTACCAAAAAAGCAATTGGATAACTAGAACCAGTTCTTAGAGGAACTCAGGTATTCTTTCCTGACATTGTTTTCAGAATAAAGAATATTTTTAATATTTTAAGATACACATTATCTGAAAGTCGAATTTTCTTTTGCATTGACTTTTATATTTCCAATTCTAAAAATTCTTAAAATTTTCATAAAAGTTGTATTTTTAAATGAACATTCTAAATGCTATATTTTACTTGTAACAGATTTTCTAAGTGAAGATTTACTGAGGGTGATGTATTTTAATATTGTGTTATTCTCTATAGTATGATTAGCAATCAATGAGAAATACATGATTTAAATGTATTGTTTGTTGACCTCATACATACAATCCTGCCATCGGTTTTAATGTTTGTGATCTTGCTTTTTGTATAGTGCCATGGACTATCTTGAAGTACCTATTAAAATAATTCACATGGATTACAAATAGCTGGCTTCACTGATGATTTGAATAGTGTAACAGACAAGACCAACTCAAATCTTAGAAAACAATTCCCCTTATAACTAAATAGTTTTCTCCAGAAGTGATTTGGAATATAATGCTTGAATCACCATTACTTAGGAGATTAAAGCCTGCACTCAGAGGCAACCAGATGCTTTGGATTGTGTAGTTTGTTTGCCTCTTAAATGTTTGTGTAATATGGTGGAAAAAGGAATGGGGCACCATCTCCCTTTAAAACCTCTAAGGGGGAACCAAGACCTACTGCCAGAAGCCTGAAGTGGTAGTTATATCTAAATTTAAGAGTACAAGGCCTCTGCCCATTTTCTCTATTACCATCTATCAGTTTGAACACAAGGAAGAGATAGAAGAAATTAGGAGGTAGAGGTAGAAAACAAATTTGCAGTGTTATTAAGACAAAGGCTAAACCAATGTATAGATTAACAAGGATAGTGACCAACCAGGTACAGGTTAAGTCACTTTTATGCCTGTATGGCTACCCTAATTTGCAAAAGAACTTCAGAAAGCCTGTAACTTTTTTCCTCAGGTAAATATTGCCATAAGTACACCTATTTCTATTCATTCACTGATTATATATTTAACTATTATCTCCTTTGAGAACACTGCAAATATTGAAACAAGCTTACTGACTTTGTGGTGAAGCTAATAGTTATTTAGGTATACAGCAAGGGATGTGTGAAAAAGGCAATTTGGAATTAGAATTTGAGTGTGAAGAGAGAAAAGCTGACTTCTTGTTAAAACACAAGAATAGTATATCTTACTACATGGGTGACTTCAACCCTATTATGTTACCTATTTACCCTATGGCTATACTAGAGGCCCAGTGTACGGATTCGTTCACTGGTGGGGTCCCTTGGCCTGGCCTGTGCCCTCTCCAGGCCTGTGCCCTCTCGCAATCCAGGACCCCTCGGGGGATGTCCAACATCCCCTAAGGGATGTCATAGTGTGGGAAGCAGCAGGCGGCCGGGGAGGAGCCCAGGCGCAGCTCCCACTCATCCCTGCCCTGCTGTGCCCACTGCTGCTGCCTCTCAGTAGCGCGCCTCCGCACCAGTGCCCGCCGGCAGTGAGCCCAGCTTCTAGTGCCCATCAGTCAGCTAAGCGGAGCTCCCACTGTGGGAGCGCACTGACCACCAGGGGGGCAGCTCCTGCGTTGAGCATCTGCCCCCTTGTGATTAGTGCACATCATAGGACTGGTCAAATGGTCAACTGGTAGCTTAGGATTTTATATATATATAGATGGATAACTTTGTTTTTTAATATGATTTAATAACAAAGGAGGTCCCCGGTGGATAGTGGGGTTTTTGTTTCTGTTTTTTAAACAACAGAGCATTTCACATCTGAATTTAAAAGGGGGGAAATGTCATAGGAGACATATCCCATCCACTAACAATACTGATGAACTGGAAACATTTCTCTACTTCTATTCCTTCACCTCAAAAACAGGGGAATAGATTCAAAAACCCATGCATTTTGTGAATTCAGATCGCCTCTTCTGAAAAATTGTTTAATTAGCATTAAGAGTCACTACAGCCCAGCCAGTGTGGCTTAGTAGTTGAGTGTCAACCTGTAAACCAGGAGGTCACTGTTTGATTCCCAGTCAGGTTTCAGTCTCGATCCCCAATAGGGGATGTGAAGGAGGCAGCCAATCAATGATTCTCTCCCACTGATCTTTCTTTCTCTCTCCCTCTTCCTCTCTATGAAATCAATAAAAACATTTTAAAAAGAGACACTACTATGTTTTATTAAAAAGTCACATCAGTTTGAGAACTTCTATAGAGAAATCATCTTGGCAAGTGTGATAGAACTGCCGAATAAATAAAAAGTGATTTAGCTCTCACTGGTTTGCTCAGTGAATGGGGCGTCAGCCTGCACTCCTAAAAGGTCCTGGGTTCAATTCCAGTCAAGGGCACATGCCTGGGTTGGGGCTTGATCCCCAGTGTGGGGAGTGCAGGAAGCAGCCGATGAATGATTCTCATCACTGATGTTTCTCTCTCTCTCTCCCTTCCTCTCTGAAATAAAAAATTATATTTTTTTAAAAGTGACATACAAAACTATCCATGTATACTAATTACGGCAGTTAAAAACAGATTTGTGCACATTATTTTGTGTCGATGCATCAAATAATCAAATGTAGTTGACAAGTGTAGCTGAACAAACTGTTGACTGTTAGCATAAAGTCTTCCTAGTGTTTTTATGTAAAAGTAGCTTTTACATAACTTTTCACATCAACTTTTTAAAAAGTAAGCAACCAATTCAACTTGGAAAATCATAGACGTGTAACATCTAATATATAACACTAGTACTAAAATTCGTTATGTATTTAAGTAGCTTCAATTTCTCAGCAGAAACAGTTTTATAACTCATTCCTCACATATATAATAAAGTTAATCCTTGAACAATGTGAGGATTGGGGGCACCAACAATCCTCCCAGTCAAAATCCACATACAACTTTTGACTCCACACCTGGCCCTTCGCATCATGGATACAGAGGGCCAAATGTATTTACTGAAAAAAATTCTGCATGTAAGTAAGTGGACATGTGCAGTTCAAATCCATTGTTGTTCAAGGGTCAACTGTAATTAATTAAATATGAGAACCTGAACATATCTGGCATGTTAATGAAAAAACTTATTGAAACCATTTGTGCACCTGATAGTTATTTCTTCCTATCTTAGGATAATAAAGAAATCACTTCTATATTCTGTTCATTCAAATTTGCATTTAATTTCTATTTACATTCATTCATTCTGAAATCAAATACTTAATACAGTAAACTAAATACAAGATGAAAAGCAGAAAGGTGTTACCCTCATAGCACTCCTAATAAGGCAGCTGAAGAATTTATTTACTCTGATAGATGCAAAGCCAACTTGGGATAGGAAAAAAAAATAAATTTAAAGAGCAAACACAGATGAACCCATCTTTCAGGTATTACTTCAGATAATCCACTGAGATAATACTTGTGCTGTAGTGGTAAATTAAGAATCACACAATAAAAGTTTTATATTAACCAGCAAGAGACTACAGGACATGGTGTGACAAATACTTTTATGATTGGTTTGTCCAGCTTGCCTAGAGTCTATGCCTATGAAAAAAGGTAAATGTTTGGACATTGGTGTTACTTATTTGAGAAATGAACCATTTTCAAAGCCTCAAAATCCATTTTTCATAAATTCAACATTTCTCATGGGAATAATCTTAGATCTAGCCCTTGTAAGCTAGGAACCATATGACTCAGTTACCAAAATAGTTAGGTCCTATATTAAATATAAAAATCCAAGGCTCAGTATATTAACACTATTGAAGATGTATCTTCTTTATAATCATATATTACTTAAAGAATGTTGAATTTATGGAGCATCATACATGCATTCTTCCCCCACCCTACCCTCATTATCTTCTATCTCAAAAAAACAACAGCATGGAAAAATCCTTCTTGAAGGATTCAAAGTAGTTAAGACCATAAAGGGGAAAAGAATGTAATTTTCTAAAAAATCTGGTTCAAGTTCAATAATTAATACTTTACATTGTTAATCACAGCTGGTTTATAAATCCCAGTTTATTCTGTAATGCTACAAACCTTATAAAATCAGAATTAGTAAACTTCGTTCTCAGTGACTATATTTGAATTAAAAAACAGCATGTATATAAAATTAAAAAATATCCTGTAATAACTGACTTTAAAGAAAATAATCAGGTGATGAAACAAAAAAAGCACTTAATCTCTTTTATACACTTACCTGGAAGAATCATAAAGAACCCTCTTAGAAACTCAAGACTAGTAATATTGACATAATATATTTTAAACTATGCTTGGATTTTTACAAATAAATATAGGGTAAGCCATATTGCATAGGTGTGTGCTTTCTGTCTGTGACACTAATGTGGCACGTGACATGTTTTCACAGTCTTAGCAGGGATATCCTTTTAATGAAACAATTTCTTAATAAACCTGCCACAGCATAGGAAATTAATTTCCCCTAATGTTAACTTGGAAAATTGTATTTGTATAGATGGCAGATGTGCAATTAATGCTTTTTATGCAGAAAAGTTGCAGTTTGCCACTATTGCTGGCAGTACTAATTATGAAAATGGTTTAACTATGGGGTATTTATAGCCAGCCTATCACAGTGCATATGTTAGTAGCAAGTAGGACTGATGAGGAATATTTTGGTGTAAAAGTTTTGCTGGAATTTGGTCAGGCAGTCAACACTACAGTTAGTAAATATATTTGAAAAAAAATATCAAAGTATCACAAGCCATATGCTGTCTGAAATAGAGTCTATACATATCACCATAGCTTTTTGGGGTTTGTTTTTCCAGACATCATAAACTGTCAGAGAACAAATATCTGCACTTTAAGTACAATTTCTGCCTTATCATTATTTGTATCTTCTAATTTATTAGCTACAGTTATAAAGTACTCAGTAGGCTACTGCAATAATGGGAAAGGGGGGATTACAGGGAGTGATTTAAAAAACAAAAACAAAACAGCTTTCTGTTCAAAGATGAACTATTATCAATTCTTTCATTTATTGCCACAATTGAAAAGGTATATTTCCAATAATTTTTCATGGATCTGTTTTTGCTTAATGCCATTAAGCAAAATCATCTCATCTCACTTGAATTGCCATTTAAATAAGCAAAGCTTTGCTCTTTTCTAACTGAATTCAACATGCATAAAGAATTTTATGGCTTGGATCCTATGGCTCAAAAAGGTTTGGAGAACATAGCAAGCAGCATCTATTCAAAAAGAATTGTAGGGTTGCAAAATATTACAAATTGACTTTGCACACTCAGACTAGGACATTATAAAAGACAAAAAAAGGGTAGTAAGACTCAACTGCAACTGCATGATCATCTATACCAGTATGCACTGAAATATATTTTCATAAAGCTCTGCAGATATTAAACCCTTTCACCAGCTAAAGTCATGGAAATGCTCTCTTTAAGGCAGGAAGTATTTAA